TTCGTTTGGGACGGCTTTTTTATTGCTTTCTAAAACGGAGTTTTAGTACAAAAATAAAAAATTTTGTACTAAAACTCCATTTTAGAAAGCATTAAAAAAGTCGTCCCAAACGAAGCCTTAGTCTTCGTTTGGAATAGCTTTTTTTACTGCTTCTTAAAGTAATTTTTTGTAAAAAAATTAATTTTTTTATTAAATAGCTGTTTTAAGGAGTAAATAAGCCAAGCCAAACGAACCCTTTTGAGTAGCTTTTCATATGTTTTTGTTATTAAAAAAAAGCACTTGGTAAAAAAAAATGTGTTTGAAAGATAATTTTTAATAGATAGTTTAAATTTTTGCTTTTAAAAAAGTTGATTTTAAAAAATCATTTTGAAATGATGGATGAGATAGAAGCTCTTAAAAGCAAGAAATAGAAAAACTAAAGCTGCCCTAACAAATCCTTAATTGCTCAATACAATGCTGTTTGTGTTTGAAAGATAATTTTTAATAGATAGTTTAAATTTTTGCTTTTAAAAAAGTTGATTTTAAAAAATCATTTTGAAATGATGGATGAGATAGAAGCTCTTAAAAGCAAGAAATAGAAAAACTAAAGCTGCCCTAACAAATCCTTAATTGCTCAATACAATGCTGTTTAGTGAAAGATTAGCAATGTCATCTTATTGCAATGGATATAGGTTGATTTTCTTAAACAAATTATTATTATAAGTCTTTTTTTTTAATGATAATGAATGGATATGAGCACTGAGTTTTTTTGGAAAAGAAACTGTTGAATTAGCTCAATCGAAATAAAATTAATGTTACCTCTATAAATTGAAGATAATAAATGGTAACACAAATAAAATAATACAATTTAACCTACATTCATGGCACATATAATGCTATATTTGATAGAATAATCATATCATTATAATAACATGAATTGGATTAAAAGAAATTTGTGTTTGAGAAGTGAGAACCAATTAGAGAAAGATTATTATGTGCGAAGTTCGAACGCAGAGAACCGTTAGGTTTTGTGATAGTGAACAATAAAAGTGCAGTAAAGCGCAATGGTGAACAGTAACTGTGCTTTTACTGTTCACGGTCACAAAAATGAACAATTCTCTTTGTCCAAACTCCGCAAGTAATTATCTCTCCCACTTAGAATAATCTATGATTGAAAATTGGCTAAATTTGAAGTTGCACAAAGCTTTGAGCCTCACAAAATTATATATAGAACAAGTCGCATGAGAGTTATTTTAATTTGACCATTTGTATCAAGTCGTTGATCTTGCCCAATAGATTATTAAAGTTACATTTTACTCAAGTTTATTCGCTCAAAATTTTTGATTAACTCCATTGAAATACTTGTTAGCAAATTAGTGGTTCTTGCAAGAAGAACCCATCAATGATAGAAGCCTCGATTTGGAACTTGCCCAAAGTTCACGATGGCGATCAACAAAAGTCTAATTCATTTGCTACATAACTTGCTACATCAAGTTCAACTTATACATTTTGCATGTAATTACCTTAATCATTGCCCATAAGAAGAGGGTTGATGGTACAACAATAATATTGATATCTCATTACGAAATCACTCTAAATCTATTTTCCTCTCTAAATTATTTCTTTGTAATTCAATTCAATTTGCATTTATGTTCATAAATAAATTATTGTTGCGTGTCAAAACATTCGTGACAGTAGAGAGATATATTGAGTTTAACATTTTAATTAGCTTTGTAAGAACATACATGACACATATAGATAAAAGAGTGGGTTGCAAGAGTCATGAGAGATACCAGAATTTTTACGTGAAAATCCTATAAAGGGTAAAACTACGGGGTCTTTCCTAGTTGAAATGATTCTACTAGTGTTTGTCATTGGTTACAAAGGATGCCCTTCCGTTGGGGATGGCATCGGCTCAATGTAGCAAATATACATCGTATAAAGTACATTGCATGTTTGGAGTTGGAACAATCCAATATCATGAAAAGGTGTCCTCCAGAGAACATTAGCATGTTCATTTACTCAGTAGGATCATAATCGAACGATGGTGGTCAAAGGGACCGTCGATAGAGGTCAGTGGGATGATAGCCGAGCGATAGAGGTTAGAGAGACCATAGTCGATGGTGACGGAGGTTAATAGACCATTGTTGGGTGACAAAGGTTGTAGGGACCTTTAATTGGGAGACAGAGGTTAGAAAGATTATAGTCGGGCAATTGAAGTTGAATTACTATTACCAGGTGACAGAGGTCAAAGGGATCAAAGTTAATGAAAAACAGAAGTTGAAGGGACCATAGTTGGAAGACGTTAGAGGTCGTAGGGATCTTAGTCGGGCTACGGAGGTTAAAGGAACCATTATCAGGTGATAGAGGTCGGAAAGACCATAATCAGCAATAAACAAAAGTCAGAGGTATTGTAGTCAGGTGACTAAGGTCAAAGGGACCATTGTCAGGTGATAGAGGTCATAAGGACTATAGTCGACATTAGATAAAGTTCATAGGGACTATAGCCAGATAATTGAGGTCGAAGATACTGTTGTCATATGACAAAGGTCGGATAAGCCATAGTCAGTAGATGATGGAGGGACCATAGTCGGAGGGTGACAAAGGTAAGAGGGATCATAGTTGGGTGATAGAGGTTGAATAGACCATAGTCGGATAGCGGAGGTTGAGGGATCATAGTTAATAGGAGACGAAGGTCAGATGGACCGTTCTGAGTGGGTGATGGAGGTCGAAAAAATTGTAATCGTGCAAGTGAAGTTGAAGGGACCATTGTCAGGTGATAAAGGTCGGAGGGACCTTAGTTGGGTGATAGAGGTTAAAGGGATTGTTGTTAGGTGATAGAGGTTGGAGGGATCATTATAGGGCAATGAAGGTCAAAGGGACTATAGTTGGGGGGCAACTATGGTTAGAGGGACCGTAGTTGGGAGAAGGAGGTCTAAGGGATCATGGTTGGATGACTAAGGTAAAAGAGATCATTATTGGGTGATAGAGTTCAGATGGACCGTAGTTGGCGAACGAAGGAGGTCGGAGGATCGTAGTCAACAAGAGATGGAGATCAAAGGGATCATATTCGACTGGCAATGAAGGTCGAGCAAAGACCTTGAAGTGGCGGTTGGATAGGAGTCTTATGATGATGGTTGATTGGAGGTCCAATAGTGGTGGTCGGAAGATGAGAGTTTGCCTGTAGTGGTGCTTGGGTGGGGCACTGGGACTCTTCAAGCATTTTAGCTACCTCGAGTCTGTAGCTCGGGGTCCAAGCCTCCAAAAGACTCCCTCATACAGAGAGTGAGGGTCTATTTATAAATTTTGAGAGTGAAATGCTTTGTAAATATGGATAAGATATTGGGAAAATTCTAAGTGCTCTAAGGGACGACCCATATCGATTCTCTCAATCATATAGCATTTGTTTGGCATTTGAGTATCTTAATAATGCCATAATTAAGCAATCTTAGGCTCGTTGGATTTATCTCATATATTCCCTTGACTTAATTATAAGTGTGATATATTTGGATATCATTTTGTCACCCAATTAATGATCTAAAGCTTTCAAGTATGCTTTAAGCCTTTGATTTGAGTCCATTTGGGCTTCTATTGGATCGATTTTAATGTCATTGGATTCATCTCATTGAGATGTTCAATTTGATTATAAGTTTGTTGAGATTAGAGTTTGGATGGTCCCAAATTTAATTTTTAAGAATTTCTATTCAAATATGCGTTGAAATTTGTGCTTAATCAAGGCAATTTTTTGTGATGTATCAATTATAAACAATATTTTTTAGGACCTATACCCCCTCTCTTTCTCTTTGTATTTGATTCATTTCTCAAATAAACTCATCGTATTTTTTCAATATATAACTTTTGATCCAACATTTGTTTTTGGTGTATGAACATGGAAATGTAAAAAAATAAGAACTACAACATTAACCACCTTAAAAATTTTTATAAGTTATTGAGTAATGAGTGATCTAATAATTATGTTATTTTTCAACACTTTAAAGCATGGCGTTTCATTTGGTAAAAATGATCCAAAGGATATTTTAATGCTTTTTATTATGACAACATATTATCTTATGCAAACATCTCCTTCTCATTGCCCTTTGGAATGAGAATATATTTTCACATATGTATAGGCATCGATGACAACTAATTGTAAAAGTTGCTACTCCATCCCTACCTAAAGATGATTAGTCTTATTTTCTAGAGGACAGTACTATTTAAACTCTTCACCTTCATCATCATGAAGGTGTTAGGTTCATCTTATGAATTCCTTTTTCATGCAAATCATGAACATTAAACTACCTTTGAAATTCAAAATGTCAAAGCAAGATTCATGCATAGAGAAGTCAAACCCAGCTACCAATGTTTACTTCAACTCAATAATTTGTCTTCTTATTGTAAGAGGTGGGATGAAATATTATTTACTATTCATAAATTTTAAAGAGACGTCGTTTTTATTGTTCTCTCGCCTTCCTCGAGCATCAACACCTTTACCAAGCAACAATTTATTTCAAAGTTCTTTGTGCTTGAAAGTTGATGAAAAAATTAAACTTTTTTTATGAAAGTGAAAATCCACTATCTCATTGTCTGGTCCCAGCATAAGAAGTGGAATACGTAAGACTTAAAAACCCACTATCATAAATATTGCTCTTATTTAATGCCTTCAAAAATATCCTTTCTAGTATGCAATTTGCTTGAAATAAACATAGAAATTGGATGAAATATTTAGTTTATCTATTAGTCATATTAATGCATAAGGGAAAAATATGATGACTTCAATTTTCATGCCTAATCTTTCTCGTATTGCATCTGTAATGATATTCATGGGACCAATGAAATAAGTTATGTTAGCTCCAAGTTATGTTGGTTGAGAAGTTGAATCATTTGCAATAATATAAAGGGCTCCACCATGAGAAGTAAGACAAAGGCACAAAAATATATGACTCCTTGAAATGGAGTGAGCCACTTCAACATTAATGATAATCTACCCTCCACTTGGAGTGTCATTAGTTAGGATCATAGATGCTATCCATGATAGGCATATTTTCATTGCTCGTCTTTGATGCAAGAAATGCCATAAACTTGTAAGTTAACTAAATATCATATCTTGGCTAAAGCTCAAAATGAGATGCTTTTTTATGTAATGGTTGCAATTTTAGTGGAAAAACATAGTTAAATAAGAAGATGTTATATAAATACTGGGATGCATGACATTATATGAAGTCACATCAATAAGGGTAAAATCATTAAGTTTAACATAATATGAGATGGGTTGAGCCAACATAGATAATACCTTGCATAGTATTGATGGGTCATTGCAATTGATATAAAAGTTAGATCTCCTCCACTACAATGTGGTTGAGGAATGCTATAAGCAAAACCTCATGAGTCTATTACATTTCAAATCTAATATGGTCATTATGAAGAAGGAAAAAAGTGAAAGCTAAGCCCAATCATGTATAATGAGATGCTCTGAGAAGACTTTTGGAATGGTAGGAATTTAGGAGAAAAATGAGTCATGAATGAATAAAATTTTAGAAGTAATATAACTAATTATACAAATAGAAGGTTAAACTCAAATATACATGAGGCCTTTGGAGTACCAAATGGAGTTTTTTGGTGAGTTATATATTTATATGCCATTGTGTTGGATTATTCTTATTATGCCTCCAAAGTATTTTTTTCAAGAAGTGTAAATTAAATGATTACACATAGTATGTGATGGGATGAGCTAAAGTAAACAATATATTTTATACTTTGATATGATTAATATTTAAGCTTCTAAGGAAATATTAAAATATAATCTTTAGTAGCACAATATATCATTCATATGTACTACATCAAGGTCATATACATTATATAAAATTTTGAATTGTTATTTTCATCCACAAGTACATCAAGAAAATAAATAATCACATGCTTGTTAATATGTTTATGTTTATACTTGTTAATTGCCAATTTTGGTATAGACATTAAATAATAGACTATCTTTTCTTATTCTTTATTTGGAAGCAAATGGATGGGAGTTTTGTAAGAGGCATAAATGCACTTTTGTTAATTTAAACATAAAAGTATTATTGTAATAAAGGAACATGTCATAAAAAATAATATGTCATATTATATTTTTTATATTATACCATTATTATGCATAGCATGCTAAACATTGAAGTTGGAGCTAATTTGTTGTATATAGCTTTAAAATACTCAAGATTTAATGAAGTAAAAAATATGGTAAGAGGAAATGATGGACCAATAATGCACTTAAGATAGTATATCATAATTATTTAAAAATGATTTACAAAGTAATATAACAGAATAAAGAAAGAAGTGCAACTAAGACTATAAGATTAAAGAAATTGAGAACGTCTAACAATAGGGCATCTATAATTGCTTAGTGTCATTCTTGAAAAAGTGGACATCTTTTAGATAAAACATGTTAGATAGAAAACTACATGAGTTGTATAGAAAATCACTATTGGTCCTTTTGAAGCTAGGGATTTCAAAAACATGAGCATGTTCATTTGTCATTATGAGTAGGAGGGCTTGCTTATAGACAAATAGGTAGTGATGAGACAAATTCATAATAATTGGGGTATCCTAACCCAAATTTTATAATCCCTACACTATAATAAATCATATAGAGTGGGCCAAATAGAGAGCCATACATAAGTTTTTAATTGTTATATTTATAAGCATATATCATAAGTATAATTCATGACATTTAGAAACTAAAGAGTGCAAGGAGTGATTGTAAAGGTAAAGGTTTAAATATGAAGCAACACTAATCATGGTATTAGAACAACAAGTTTCCAAGAGAAAAGAAGGTTGGAAGGAACTTAACTCTCCTTGAAAATGCAATAAAATGTTATTGGGTTATATAGTTATATTGTTAGACCCAAAAAATGAGATGTCATTTAGTGTGATAAGTGTAATTTCATTAGGAATAACACAATTAATCATGCTCGTGATAGTGCATACTTGAGCTGGGCATCATTATTGTAAGTTGCATCAAGGAGGGTAAAATTATAGTTTGAGTCTAATATAGGTGTGCTAGATCAAAGTAGATAATGTATTGGATTGTGTGAGATGGTTTTTATAATTGGTATCAGCACTACACCTCCTATAGCATGATATGTGGTTCAAGGATGAAACAAGTGAACCTTGGTGGGCTACAAACATCCTGAACCCAAATGAGTATTGTATAAAGTATGAGATGGGTTGGGCTAAATATGAAGATTTTTTATCCTTAGCTTAGATAATGTTTATGCATATGCAATTGTAATTAAAAAATCATATAAAGTGTAAGATGAAGAAAATCAATTCATTTTTAATGCTTAAAACCACCTTTATATGCAATTTTGATATTAAAAATGCAAAATAAACATATAAAATAAAAAAGCTTTTATTTGCATTGCTTAAACAAAGCATAAGATTTGAAACACTCCCTTGATTACAATTTTGAACTTAATCTAAAATGATTTTTTCAGACAACATGTTGAAGAAACTAATAGGGCATAACTTATAGATTTTGAGTCATATTCCAAAAACACTAACCCTTTTAGCTAGGGAAGACCTGCCTAGAAGATCACTAGTGGTGGAACCTTACTAGAAATTCCACTATTCTTGGTCAAATTAGCCTCCTCTTTCATCTTTTTTTAAATGGCGGTAGGGGGAATGAGGATTCTTCTATATCTCAAATGGTTTCACATTCCTTGTTTTATTGAGATAATATCCTTATGACCAGGGGCGGATCTAGCTTCTTTTTTTAGGTTGGGCAAAAAAATATTTATGAGGGATGGACAAAGATGCTTAGGATTGATAAAAGTGTGTGGGGGGGGGGGGGGGGAAAAACCCCCAAAAAACCCCCTCTATTTTTTTTTCCAAAATATCCCCTCTAATTTTTTTTTTTAATTTTGAGGGTGAGCATTGGGTGAGCATTTGCCGTCCCGAAGTCCTTGATGGATCTGCCCATGCTTATGACTTTCTAGTTAGAAAACTTCCTAGCGTGATCCATTGTTCTTAGAGAAGAATAAAGAAGTTCAAATCAATGGATGCTTCAAGAAGGGCATGGAAATTATTTATAGCTTTTTCAAATCAATACAGTTTAATAATGAATAAATGGTTTATCCATGATACATAATTGAGTCAAATGAGATATATTATTTCACTATCTTGTTATCTTTGTAGTTTTCTTACAAAGATGCAAAATAATCATGGAACTAAATTTACACCCATTGAAGGCCCATGGCCTAATTTAAATCAAGCTAGTAAGATTTTAGACACTATACTAAGACATATTTGTCAATAGGGTCTCAATAAATGACCCGATTTGAAAAATCTAGATTCGGGTTGTTTTTTTTTAATAAACGGGTTTGGTTCAGGTTAGATTTTTTGTTATGTTTATTAAATGAGTCAGGTTCAGATTGATCACAAACTCGCTTTTGACTTGAAAAATTACCCGTTTAATTTTTTTTTCTTAATTTTTTAATACTTTTGGATATAAATTTCTTATTTTTTATCACATATTTTAAATTTTATGATTAATAAGTTAGCAAACTATAAACAAAAAATTATAGGGAGATTTACATACATATCACTTTATTTTATGCTATTTATATATCTAACACCCAAAACATTAATATTACATGACTACCACCCATAGAATAAAATTGGGTGCAAGGAACGAAATATTAAAGTTTATAGGATTGTATGAATGATATAAATGAATTATATGAGTGATATATTTGATATTAAAGTAGTATATGGATGGTAGGCATGTAATATTATTATTTTAGATGTTAGATATATAAATAGCATAAAATAAAGTGATATGTATATAAATTTTCCTAAAAATTAAAGTTTTTGTGAGGTTTATAACTTTATGCAAATTCCCACGACAAGTAGCCCCGCCGCACGCTCGGCTCTCCACTGCCTTAACCCGAAAGTTCCAAATCCGGTAAGGGTTCTTTCGTTTTGCAATCGATCCTTGACATTTCGGCGTTAGGTTAGGGTTCGAATCGATGGCAGAGCACTTGGCATCAATTTTTGGGACGGAGAAAGATCGTGTGAATTGCCCCTTCTACTTCAAGATCGGGGCCTGCCGGCATGGAGATCGGTGTTCGAGGCTACACACACGGCCGAGCATCAGTCCAACCCTACTCCTTTCCAACATGTACCAGCGCCCCGACATGATTACAACAGGCGTCGATCCGCAGGCCCAGGCGATGGATCCTCGCAAGATCCAGGAGCACTTCGAGGTCAAACCCTAGCAAATTGTGTGCCTCATTATTATGTATTTGCTTCTTTTGTTCCTTATATTCTTTCTGTCATAAATTATTAAATTTGTTCTAGTTTGGTTCATGGATTCAGGTTTCCTATTTAATAATAACCAACGATGTGATTATTTCTTATAATCTATTCCGCAAAAAAATAGCACTTAGTTCCTGCATGCTTACGGATCTACAAACAAGTAAAATGTTAGATATATGATATATCAACTGACAAATCGTTACGTGAAGTACTATGATCAATTTAAGCAATAAATATGTGTATTATTGTTAGATAATAATAATATCACGCGTTTTTCCCAATGAAGTTATTCTGCAAAGGAAGGAGAAAATTTCAATTCAAAGCAAAAGTTGTCCTAAAACCTAAAGATTGAACTAGAAATTGCTAATGCGACACATATTTTGGTAGACAACAAGGGAAGGCCCAAGGATCAAGTAATATATGGAAAGAGATGAAGGATAAAGTATTGAGTCAATATATAGCCGAACTCCAAGACTTTTGGGATTAGGGCCAAATATGAAACAAGCTGCCTATTTATTTATAGGAGGGAAATTGAAGTTGTAGAAGGAAGAGAAAAATATGATAAGTACAAGGTTTGTGGCACAACTATGAAAGAACTAATGCGGGGAAGCTTTTCTCTTGTTTTTCTTTTTTCCCTCCTACTTTGTTTCCCGTGTAATGTATGGAACCATTTCTTAGGGAGCAATTACCTTCATATTTAGTTCTAACAATTTGAAATTTAATTATTAGGATTTAATGAGGATGACCCCCACCCCACCATTAAGAGAAAATATTTTCTATATTTGAACTAGGATGTGATTTCAGCTTTTCTTGGATTTCGTGTTCATGATGCTTAGCATTCTAAGTAGTAAATGTCTCAAGACAATTGACTGAGTAACATGTTCACTTACTTTCATCATATTATTTTCTTCACGAATGATGAAATTGGCTATAGATATGGTTTCATGTTCAACATTTAAACAACGTGGTTCAACCTTTTGCAATGTCTCAAAGGGCCTTTTTACCACTCAATTCATGTTGTTGTTACAAAGGCATTTAGCTTTCTTCCCCTCCAAAACTCTACCTTCAAGCAAAAGTCATTTGCATCAAGTGGATGGTGAGGAGTAACAACATGTGAGGAGTGATGAAGCCTGCATTATCAAAGCCGGAAGTTGGCAAAGCATGTAAAGAATGAGAAGCAACATGCATATGGAGCCATGATATGTACTTTCTAGTTCTCTCTTATAGAGTTTACACTTGGAATCTAATATATTGCATAAACCTATGGAATCCCATTTCTATATTAATTTATTCCAATTTGTCCATTTTGATATTAACAAGAATATTATCTTGGAAATGGCCTTGGGGCAGTTGCTTTGAGAAACAAATAATGTTCAATCAATTTTGATGTAGAAATGTATTTAATGTCATTTTGAGACGAAAAAATGAATCTAGGTTCTGACACTTTAGCTGGTTTGGCAATTTGTTGATTTAATTCTTCATTTTAGTGCCCTAATTTTTACTTAAGTTATCAAAATAAGTCCATTAGGTAAACTTTTTTTTTTTATTATAGCATTGTTTAAAATTGTGCAATATGAGGGTCGCCTTAGCACAATTCGAGTGAAAAATACCTTGAGGCTTATGCCTCAAACTATATTCATGAGGCTTGGACCTCGGCTTAGCTAAGGCCCGTCTTGAGGTGCACCTCGCCTCACCATATTTATATATATTTTTATTAAAACTTACATAAATTATAAACTAAAGCTCTGAACAAATCACGCCTTCCTGCACCCTCAAACCATATCAACTTTCTCTCGATTGCCTCAACCTTTATCCCGCAACCTTCACCATCATAACATTCAGGGATTACTTGAAAGTCACACACCATTACCACCGCCTCTTCTAAAAATTTTGGAGTATTACTCTCATCTTTATGTTGATGATAAACATTTATGAAAGAGAAAGATAGTTGAAATAAATGCAGAAAAATAGATTATATGTCATTGACTCCATAGTATGAGGCATGGGAGAGACCAATGTTCTGACAATACTCAAATAAGACTTTCTTAGTGATGACAATACAAATGATTTCTGAGTTGTTCCCAACCATTTTAGTTTTCTTTAGAAATTAAATGTGGATGATTAGTGAACTGAGAAAAAAGAATTTGTAGTTGAACTTGATGTTATATGATACTTTTATGTAATTCTTATATTTTATATTTTTTTGCTCTTTTAATTTGTGGATTTCAATTCTATTTCACATAATTTCTCACTTGTCATTTTATGTCTTATTCAATTTTTTATTTCATATGTATGATAATTTGTTACTTCATAGTTCAATAAAAAGTTAATATATTATTCTTTAACATATTATTTGAATAATGAATATTATATAAAAAATTAATTTTTACATTTATTTTCACTTTACGTAATTTTTGGATTTTGAGGTTTGCATCGTCTTGAGGCTTACACTTTGCCTTACAAATGAAAAACGTCTCAATATCTAATTGTGCAATTTTTAAGTCTTGGATTATAGTGCTCAATTTTATTGCTAAGCACTCAAACCTTTCACTTTATTAAAACTAAGGCTTTAAAAGGGGAAATTGAGAACCGAGCTATTTTGCTTTATCTAAGCTAGGAGTAAGCTATTTTGCTTTAAGGTGGATTGAGGCATCAGCCTCAAACTTAAAATAAAAAATTTCAAAATTAAAGTCAATTTATGAATATGCCATAAACCATCAACAAATAGTTAGAAAGAAAATTAAAAATCTAAAACTTACAACAACAACAAAAACAACATCAAGCCTTTAATCCCATTACGTGGGGTCGGCTACATGAATCCTTTTTCTCCATTGTGTCATGTTAAGAGTCAAATTCTCATTTAGATTTAATAAAGAAATGTCATTTATAATATTTTCTAACCAAGTCTTTTTAGGTCTACCTCTACCTTACTTAACATAGGTCAAATCTAATACATCTACTCTCCTAACCGGGTTATCAGAAGGCTGACGTTTTATGCGACCAAACCATCTAGGGTGACTTTCTCTAATCTTATCTGCCACCGGAGCTACTCCAATCGTTTCACATATATGCTCATTTTGTATCATGTTTCTAAGAGTAAAGCTACACATCCACCTGAGCATCCTCATCTTTGCAACACTTAACTTAATACTATGCTTCTTTTTTAATGGCCAACATTTTGAGCCATAAAATATTATAGGTCTAACCATCATCTTATAGAATTTCTCTTAAGTTTGAGTGGTACTTTTCTATCACACAACAAGCCCGATGCATTCCTCCACTTCAGTCATCCAATTTGAATTCGACTAGTAATATCCCCATCTATTTCACCATCACTTTGAACAATAGACCCAAGATATCTAAAACGTGTACTCTTATTAATGACTTGATCTCTCAAAGTCACAAACCGCCCACTAGATCTATTACCACTAAAATTACACTCATTGTATTCGGTTTTAGATCTACTCAAACGAAAACCTTTAAACTCTAATGTTGACCTCTATAATTCAAGTTTACATTCAACTCCCTCTTTAGTCTTCAACTAGAAGAATATTATCAGCAAAAAGCATACACTAGGGAACATCCTCTTGCTAATCTCTAGTAAGAACATTCATGACTAAAGCAAAAAGATATGGGCTTAAAGTTGATCCTTTATGTAACCCAACTGAAATAGGAAAATACGTGATCAAACCACCTTGTGTTTGAACACAAGTAATAGCTCATGCATACATCTTTAATGATTTGGATATAAGCGTTATTACCTCCTTTCTTTTCAAGAACTCTCCATAGTACTTCTCTTGGAACTTTATCATATGTTTTCTCTAAATCAATAAATATCATATGAAGACCCTCCTTATTCTCTCTATACTTCTCCATCAAACCTCTCAATAAATGTATGGCTTCCATAGTACCTACCCGGCATGAATCCAAATTGATTTTGAAAAGTATTAGTATCACGACGTATCTTATGCCCCATAACTCTCTCCCGTAGTTTTAAAGTATGACACATCATCATCATTCTAATATAATTCGCACATTCTTGTGCATCACTTTTATTCTTAAAAATAGGAATCAACACACTCATTCTCCATACATCTGACATCTTTTTAGTCTTCAAAATAATATTAAAAAGTTTAGTAAACAATAAATTCATTCATCTCCTAAGCATTTTTACTAACTCTATTGGAATATCATCAAGTCCAACAATTTTCTCACACTTCATTTTCTTTAAAGCCTCTCTAACTTCAGTTGTAGTAATATACCGATAAAAATAAAAATCTCTATTTTCATTTAGAATGCTAAGATCACTAAAGTCAATTATATTTTCACAGTCTTCATTGTAAAGTTTAGCAAAATATCTTATCCATCTTTGTTGAATATCATTAAAAATGCAACCGAACCGAACCGAACCGAGCTAATCCGAGCCGAGTATGTGCACGTTCATGTTTGAGTTTGTTTATTGTTAGCTTGTTCAAGTTTGGTTCAAGTTTGATTTGAGCTTTTTTGTTTGTGTTCAAGCTTGGTTTGTTTAAATTAATGGGTGTTCATGTTTAGTTTATGTTCAGTTCATTTCGTGTTTATCGAGTTTTAAACAAACAAGCCTTAACAAGCTATAAACGAGCCTACTTCTAGATGTGCATTAACTTAACAAACGAGCCTTATCGAGTCTTCTAATAAACAATTACATCGAGCCTGTTCGTGAACTTATCTGGCGAAGTTTTTTAAACTATCAAACAAGCTCGTTTACGAATAAATCTAATGAGTATTCTTAAGTTATCAAATGAGTATGTTCATAAATATATCTAATTAATATTTTCAAGCTACCAAATAAGCTCATTAACGAACAAATGATCTATGATTCATCTTATATTTGTTCAAAGACTGGATTGTTCGTGATTTTAGGCGGATGCGAAAAGTAAAAATAAATTACTAAACGATATTAGTAAAAATAAATTTAACAATATATATATTTTTAAAACTCTAATATAGTTATAATTGAGCTTCTTAGTTAAGCTCTATTCGAGTTCTTAACGAGCTTGTTCATGAGCGTTAAATGATACTGTTCATGAACATAAACGGCTGAACACTAAGTTGTTCATGATCGTTTATTTAGCTATCAAATATTTATTAAAAGTGTTCAAGCTCATTCGTTTACCTTATCAAATGAACATGAACAAGCTCTTATCGAGCTGAGCCACGAGTAACTCGTTGAACGCTTGGTTCATTTGCAGTCTTAAATATCCTCTTCTAAAAAAATACTTTTTGATCTTCATCCTTGATGCACTTCATTTGAACTAAATCCTTACTACTTCTATCTTTTTGTTTGGTTAACTTATACATATATATTTCGCTCTCTTTAGTATCTAATCTATTATATAAATCATTAAAAGCTAAAGTCTTTCCGTCGCAGATAACTTTCTTAGACCCTTTACGAGCAACTTTATGTTTTTCCCAATTTTCAAAGTTTTTACCTCTAAACTAATTTCTATAAATGAGCTTCTTATTTTTTATCATTTCTTGCACATTTTGATTCCACCACCAATAATTTTTACTATTAAAAGCTTTTCATTTTGATAATCCAAACACATCTTTTACAACAAGCTACTATTTTCCATATAATATTAGTTTCTTCATACACCGACAAATCTTAAAATCGTGAATGTTACTCTCAAATATATTTTTATTATAGTTTCATAAATTCCACCATCTAATCCTAAAGCAACTATATATTATATTTTTCATATTCTTTTTCTTCATATTAAAATCCAAAACTAATAAGCGATGTTGGGTACATTGACTTTCACTCAGAATAATTTTACAATCTTTGCAATATAAACTATTTATTTTTCTTACAAGAAAATAATCAATATGAGTTTTACTATATTCATTCTTGTAAATGATGATATGCTCATCTCTTTTCTTAAGTAATATATTAGCAATTACAAAATCATAAGCTAGAACAAAATCTAATATAATCTTACCACCTTCATTAGTCACTCCAAATCCATAGCTACCATGAATGATTTTAAAATCCTCTACCTCTCTACCAACATATCCATTTAAGTCTCCTCAATAAAAACTCTTTATTCAAGAGGTATATTTTGAATTAATTCTTTCAAGTCATTCCAAAATTTTAATTTTGAGTACATATCCAAACATACTTAATGAGCATAAACATTTATAATATTAATAATCTTATCATCAACAATAATCTTCAAAGGTATAATTATATCTCTAATTCTATCAATTTTTATAACATTGTCTTTCAAACTCTTATATATAATCGCCACTACATCATTTCTAGTACGACTCCTACTAGAATATTATAGTTTAAATCTTAAACTATCAATCTCTCCCACCCATTTAGTTTCTTGAATGTATAGAATAATTATCTTCCAATGAATCATAATATCAATTAATTTAGCTAATTTGCCTGTAAGGAAACCTACATTCAAAGTTCTTAACATAATTTTAGTTTCATGGACTAGCTTCTTTGCCCACACAATGTATTAAAAAATTCATGTCATGATTATTCAACAAGTTTTACGTTGGTTGTTGATTACTTAATGTAACCCTCCATTTTTCTCTTCCAGAATTTGGGACTTGACAATGACATTGTTTAAAAAAAATCTAAAAATAAAAAAGGAAAAAAAAAACTTAAATAAAAGAAGTGAAAAGAAAAATAAGTAAAAAAAGATGATAAAAAATGGTTAAAATAAAATGAGATATAATTTAAAGGGAAAAATACAGAATCAAATCAAGAAAAATGAAAATAAATAACAATTTAAAAATTAAAAAGAACAAAAATGTAAAGGGAAACAAACTTATTAAAATAAAAAAGTCAGTCAGTTTAAAAAAAAAAAAAAAAACTTGAGCCTTCTATCTCCAAATTGATTTAAACTGTAGACCTAAAAACTTATGCTTCTTATATATAGCTTAAATGTGTACTGTTTTATCTAAATGTTACTTTTGAGGCATTCTTCTCAGCGTATACAGCCTCTAACACGTATGCCTCGAATGAAAAAGTTTAAGCCTTACTCAGACCAAAAAATGCAAGCCTTGATGTAATTTGTGGGTGCCTCATGGTGAGGCGAGCCTTAAGGTAGATATCTCAAATGCCTTTTTAAACAAAGGATTACAAGCATAAATGCCAAAACCAAACAAAGGCTTTGTGGGGATCGAAGATGCACCCTTTTAAACTAGTGCTCGAGCAATAGTGAAATAGTGACCTGCTTCTAAGATAAGAAAGACAAGTGTCATTATCCCGCATAGGCTTTGCGCTCGTTGAATGGTTGCCCTTGTGAACCGAGGGTTATCAATTTTGATTCAACAATGATGGATAAGAGATAAGAGGAAGAAAAGTTGGGCTTGAGGATAACTCCCTTATATCTTGAGAAATAAGCATTGTGACACCACAAAAACAAGTCTTTGCCCCCTTCTCATTGGCATGGTTTATGGAGGATAAATCAAGCTCTTTGAGTTCCTTCAGCAGTATGAGACTAATTCCCTTTGGAGAGTGAGGGGAGTTGGGTAGAGAGCTAGGAAATCGGTGTGGTCTACATACAAAGTCATTTCCCACATCTAGGTTATTTCTGGGCAGTCCATCATTTGGATGGTTGTGTTGATTTCAAGGTCATGATCGAGTTCTTTGAGTTCAACTTGATTTATTTTGAGCCCATGTTAACCAGTTCCTCTTATGGAACCTAGCTTCAATAGTTTGATTTGGTTTAACTCCAATCAGCTGACTATGATTATATTGACTAGGCCTTAACTATATTTTACTAGGGTCGACTTTATGAAGGCTTTATACCAATGAAAAGGCTGTGACGTGTGACATGGATTGAGATTCTTCCGACTGCTGTTGCTTCCAAGATTTTTATATGGACCCTTTTTGTGGAGAATTCATTATCATGGTTACTTGCATGGAAATCTTCATAGGTCAACTATCATTTCTGAATAGATGGTTTTGCTATTATTGTACATGGGTTGAGACCTTTCTTTTTTGGGGGGGTTGTTGACAATGGCAACAATCACCAGTGCTGGTGACTTCTGTCGCTTGCAGTATCACCAACAAGAGTGCTATTAGCTGTTGGTGATATTTGTGAAATTGACAGAGTGGTGATTAGATAATGGGCATGAATAAGATGAAAGGTATGAGTAATTCTTGATCATGATTTAATTGCTTGTTCATAGAAAGATGAGGTTGCAGTAGCATGCTTGAAATAAAAAAATGCTGAAATGATCTGGATATTTTGTATTTTCATAAATTTCCCTGATAATGTTGCCACCACCTCTCAGCCAACACAGTTCTCAATGTAAGGAAAAAATAGGCTTCTTTTATTTGAAATGGCCAATGTTGGTTTCTTATGGATCCATTTTCTGATGAAGTAGACATGATTTATTTTGTCATCCTACTTGAGCAATAAACAAAAATGAATGGCCGAAATGTATTGATAGAACTAAAAGAAGTCCTTTTAAAATACATATACCGTACATATCTATGTCTATAATGTTGGTTGATCCTATAAGGTTAAGATTTGCCAGCGTTATGTCTTTCCCCCCAAGTGTATTTATGTTGATGTTTTTGTGTAAGGTTCTTTTGCTGCTTTCTGCTACCTTAATTTGATATTCAGGTATAATTATGTTCAGAATTTCTACGAGGATCTATTTGAAGAGCTGAGTAAATATGGTGAACTTGAGAGCCTGAATGTATGCGACAATTTGGCTGATCATATGGTAATAAAAAACTCAATTGTCACTTTTCCCGTCCTTTGCTTGCAAACATTTTGTCGTGTTCTATTGTTCTTGCGTCATGTGCAGGTGGGTAATGTGTATGTTCAGTTCAGAGAGGAAGAGCACGCCGCCAACGCTGTTCGTAATTTGACTGGAAGGTTTTATGCAGGTCACTTATCATCCTATTTGGCTTTTCTTTTATCAGGAGTCATATTGGCTATAGTTCTTTGTACTTATCCTATGTTAGATTACAATATGCAACCTGATATACATTTTTTTTTCTGTCTGAATTCTGTGTTGCAGGGCGTCCAATTATTGTTGATTTCTCTCCTGTTACTGATTTCCGTGAGGCTACCTGTCGGCAATATGAAGAGAACACTTGTAATAGGGGTGGTTATTGCAATTTCATGCATTTAAAGAAGATTAGCAGGTATATATGATTGTAACTATCTTTTGTGTATGTCTGGCTTGTCTCTTCTTTTGCTTAAATGGACGGTCATGCTGATGGCAGGGAATTAAGGCGACAGTTGTTTGGGAGATCTCATCGGAGGCATAGCAGAAGCCGCAGTAGGAGCCATAGTCCTCATAGACGCCGTAACTATGAAGATCGAAGAAGGCCACATGATGATCGAGGCAGGAGGCCTAGGAGCAGAAGTCCTGGTCATAGGAAAGGACGTAGTAGGAGCCCCGGGGGCAGGAATAATAGAAGCCCAGTTAGGGAAGGTAGTGCTGAAAGGAGGGCCAAAATTGAGCAATGGAACAGGGAAAGGGAACAGGCAGAACAGGCTAATAAGCCTAGCAACATCAATAACCATAGTAGCAATGGATCCCGTCAGAATGGGGGGCACCATCACGAACAGCCATATGGAAATCATGAAGAGTACTTTTACTGACGTATGGCTTTTCCAGGTTTGGCCATTTTTCTTTTTGGGTGTTTAATTTTGGGGGTGGTGGACATTTTGTTTGCAAAACCGGCTCTCTCAAAATAAAAATGGCTTACAGTCCATTTTGCACTGTGCAGGTGGTGTGCAGGTTCAATGTCCTGTGCTGTGGATTTTGATGTCATTTTGTTTTGTTTCTAACTATCCTTTTCTTCTCTCAGATCCTTTTTGTAGGCTTTTCATTGCATGCCTTTTTTTTCCAGCCTGCTTGCGTTTTGTGTTTTGTTCTTATTTAGTTGCCTTTCTTCTCTCCTTCAGAAGTATTGATAAATGACCAAAGATTTTGAGTTTTTTTAACTCGATTAATTTTCTATCTTTTCACAAACATTTATCTTTGAATTTAATGACTTTTTTTTTCTCCCAAGTTTGGGGAAAAACAATTGCCTGAATGCTCTGGTGGCCGTCTGCCTTTCAATAAATTAATTCTAGAATTACCAAGGCTTCATTTGGGATGACTTTCTTACCGTTTCTTAAAGTTGCTTTATAGTAGAAAAATTAAAATTTTTATACTAAAAAAACTGTTTTAAGAAACAGTAAGAACGCCATCCCAAACAAAGCCTAAACCTTTCCGGCATAACTGAAGTTTCTGATTGATGTTCATTTCAATTTACTGTGTCATCACAGGTTGTTTATTGGGTTCAGAAAGAATTCTCTCTGTAACCTTTTGTTTAGTATTTTTTAGGGCTTTTAGCATGAAATTTGATATCTTTCACTTGGTTTCGCTTGCTTTGCACCTTAAGCTGACTAGAGACTAAAATTCAATTTTTTTTGGCATAATGTAAGAGCTAATTTTTGCAGCATTTTTTTGGAAGGAATTCTTTTGTGGAGTGAAAAGAAGAAGAAGAAGAAAAAAAGTTCAGGGTATTTTAATTAAAGTTTTGTTCAGTGAGTTTAAAATTCATTGAATTTACTTTGAGATTAGTGCAGTTGATTATCATGTATTGCACTTATCACAATGCAAATTAAATGTTATTGAGATCTATCTTTTCTAATTTTTATTATAATATCTTCATACAAAATTTTTTCTAAAGTTAAAATTGCTTTTTTACGGCCCCAATCAAAGTAAATAAATAGAGCTTAATACTTTCTTGATTCACTGGTGTTCTTTTTTATAATTTTTAGTATGCTTTGAACTTGCTGCATTTATACTGCGCTTGGTTGCCTTCACCTCTTGTACAGGTGCTGTAATGTCCAGGATAGATAGCAAATTTGTCATTTTGAAGACTTGCTTACTTTGTAAAGAGTTTTGCAGGTCCAGGTATCCTTGACCCTTTGTCGGCCTAATTTTCATGCAGCTTAAATGGAATTGTGCAGGTTTTTGGGGCATTTGCAGAAAGAATTGAACAGGAGTGGCAGCCAATGCAAAGCTATCATTGAAAGTTTGCTCTATCTGACCAACTTAGGATGTGAAATGCTACCGCCTGAGTGTAAGGACAAAGGATTTTCTTCACTGACAATGCCATCTTGCATTTGTTTTCTATTCAGCCTGGAATAATTGTTCTATTTGAACATCTTAGGGTTTAGGGGAGTTACTGTTTGCTTACTTCTTCTGAAGCTAGAACCTTGTTTTCAAATTTCCTGTTCTGTATCCTTTTAACTTTTAATTCAACTGCTTATATGATGTGATGTGCTTGTTGTTGTAAGAATGTGATGATCCTACTTTGTAACGATACTTATTGGATTGAAAGATTTCTCTCTGAAATCTTAAATTTTAGACTCGATAGCCAAGCAATTTATCATTATTTAATGCTAATAGTTCTCAGAGTTTAATATGTTAAATTTGTTTTTATAAGATTTGTTGCGGGCTAGAATATACGCTGCAGTAGAGTTTGCAAATTCACGTCTGAGCGTTGCACGAATATTCAGCACACAAACAGAAAAGAAAATGAACACTAGGATTTTTACGTGGAAAACCCGAAAGAGGGAAAAAAATCACGAGGCCACGCCCAGTTGAAAAGTTTCACTAGTGTTTTTGTAAATTACAAGAAGCTGATTCGTCACACAAGTCAGGACGATCAGATTACAATTCGTTTCTACCAACTTGAAACAAATTTACAAAATTCTATAGAATTCAGGCTTCTCTCGAAAATCCGGCAGAGTTCTGGCGTGTTCAGACAGCGGAAAGAACTCCGGCAGTGGTCGAGGAGGAGATGATTCTCCCTTTCCCCTTCTTCTCTTCTCTTCTTCTCTCTCTTCTCACTTGAGTCCTCTTGTGAAGAATGAGAGCTCTATTTATAGTTTTTTTGGAGTGGCATGACTTGTAAATAGGTGTGAGATCATGGGCGAATAGGGAGTGGTCGAATGGACATCGTGCACCGTTCGTTGGACATTTGAAGGCCTTAGTGATGTCGGAATTTGGCGATCTTGGGCTCGTTGGATTCATCTCGTCGAGCCGTTCGATTCGAGTATAAGCTCGTTTAAATCAGAGATCGTTTGGTAACTCAAATTGTGGTTTGAACCTTCCAACAGCACTTCGGGTTCTTGATTTGGACCCATTTGGGCTCGGATTGGGTTGAATTTGGTGTCATTGGGTTCGTATTTCCGAGACGCTCAGTTTGACTATAAGCTTGCTGAAATCGGAGTTCAGGTGCTTTCGGATTTAATTTTTGAAATTTTCAGTTGGGTTTTGCCTCAAGATTCGTGCTTGATCAAGATAATTTTTTGAGAATGTATCAATATTTATTCAATTAGTATGGATCATTCAAGCGCTTCACAAATTGTTCAGACTCCGCAGGAATACTCGGAGTACTTAGCCGTTGCAAACTCCTAACATACCCAGAAAAAAAAAGAAAGAAAAAACAAAGTTGCACTCATATAAATAGTTTATAAATATTTAGCCCAGAATAATTCGGAAAATGTCTTCTAACATTTAAGGCTAAGATAATAATCCTCATAGAATTGGAAATTATGTAGTTCTTTTCTCAGTCATCTTTATTTATTTTATATTTATTCATTTAAGTTGTTTAGCACTTACCATTTAATTGTTCCTTGTAGGTTCTGATGTTGAGGCTTATCTCAATGATCCGAAAGAAATAGGTAATGCATTAATGTTTTTATCCGTATGATTAATGTGTTGTAGGGGTGTCAAAATCAAATTTTTGGGTTTAAGTTTGGGTCAAATGAAACCAACCCATCATCATATGACCTGATATGACCCGAACCTTTTAGGGAAACGAGCTGAAAACACGAACTTGAATTTGACCTGATCTAAGTACGAGTCGACCCGGATTGACCCGCCAACTCATTTTATTGTAAAAGTTTTTTTTTTTTTACTTCAAAAATAACAAGAAACAAACCCACAACAACAAATTACATTAAACAAATCCACAACAGCTAGCAAAATGAAAAACAGAGTAATGATAATAGTCTAGCAGTCAACATTTCAACAACAATTAATATAAAACCAACCCAACAAGACATCAAATAAGCAACCCAACTAAGTGCAACGTTTCAAGTTTTAAACAATAGAAATGACCATGGCAGCAAGTCAACAACCCAAGACTAAGTAAAAAAAATGAGACCCTCAACAGCAAAACTGCATAAACGATGAGAAACTGCACAGGAGGTGGAGGCCAAGGCAAGAACAAAGAGAAAAATAAAAAATAAACGATCCCACGAGGTTGGGAAGAAAAAGGCAACACGATGTCGACAGAAGTCACATAACGAATCAACGAACGAAGGCGAAACTTAGAAGAGAATGAGAACGGAGGAGCTGATTAGCCAAAGAAGTGACTGGTGAATAGCTCTAAAATGCGAAAACAAATAACGCATTAATGCATAGTCGCTCGAACTGCGCGACTTCACAGGTCATTTTTTAGGTATCCGAGTCAACTCAAACCCTACCTGGTTTTCGAAATAGGTCTGTTTATTGAACGCGAACCTGACTCGTATAAAAAACGGGTTGACTCGAACCCGAAATTTTTCAAGTCGGGTGAAGTCTTATTGCGTCTTTTTCCAATCGGGTCAGAACATGTCAATCAAAATACTGAACCTATAGGTTGCACATTTCCAACCACCATCCCCTACTTAAAGTTCTTTAGACCTTCGTTGCCTGTCAATTATGGTCTCTCCGATTTTTGCCACCTGCCAACTATTCTTCCTATGACCTCTATCTCCTGCCAACTACAGTTCTTCTGACCGCCGTCACCCATCAATTATAGTCATAGCGACCAAATAGACAGGCCAACATTCTCTTGAAAACAATTCTTATATCATTAGATTTTTTTCCAACTCTCACCATGTAATACGCTCCATATAATGTATACTTGCTATATTGAGCAAAGGCTCTCCCCTGAGAAAGGGCATCATTTGTAATCAACTACAAACACTAGTGGAATCAATTTTAATTGGGTCAGGCTGCATGATTTTTACCCTTTTCATGATTTTCCACATAAAAATGTTCGTCTCTTACTACTTTGTACCCCTCTCTGTTATCTGTGTGTGCTAAATTTTTATTTAACGCTAAGACATTAAGCTATTTATCTCTTTCTACCGCTGCGAATGTTCAAGTACGCAACAATAATTTATCATCAAATCATTTCCAACCACTTCAAGTTTAAAGGTTGAATGATTTTACTGCCGATTTTTATGAATTGATACACATTTCCTACAATTCCAAAATTTAAATGTGCCTGAATTAATTTGAGGAAATGTTCACAGTTCAACAAGTTCAATTGTGTCGTCCAGTTTGATTTTCAGAGCCATGCAATATGAGGGAGAGATCGTTAAAACATGAGACTTCGAATTTAGTCTAAATCATACGGTTAAAAAATCTGTAGACGTGGAATTATTCAAGGGCTACTTGGGATAACCTTAAATTTATTTTTTCTTTTTTTACTTTTCCATTTAAAATTAGGAGCGTCAATTTTTGACATGACCCGAACCCGACCCGGAAAAATACGGGTTCGGGTCAACCCGAACCTGAAACGGGTCGGGTTTGGGTTGACCTAGCAATCCGAAATTGACCCGAAAGTGATACGTTTTTGACCCGAAAATCGAATATTGACCCGATTTTGACCCGAAAATTAGCAATTTTAGGTCAACTTCGAGTCATTCGTGTCGGGTCGGGTTGACCTGGACCCGAATCAGGTCGGGTTCGGGTCCAGAAACCTGATCCATTTTTAAAAACGGGTCAGGTTCAGGTTGACCCGAACAGTGCCATATCAGTTTCGTGTTCGACCCGAACCCGACCCGCTGACCCGAATTGACACCCCTATTTAAAATCACGATTCTTTAGTACATTTCATACATACATATTTCTTATTAAAATCAAATCAAATTTTTCTTAAAAAACATATGCACTTAAACTTTGTTTAGAACATTTTGCAAAAACAACTATCATCACCGAGAGACATTACTTTAGGCCGTACCTTCGACCGTCCCCGCCCACCACCTCATATCATCATTAGTCGCCATCATCAACCACCTCTAGCCGCCATCTCCGATCACTATCTTTGGCCACAACCAGCCACTATCGGCCATTAGCTCCATTAGCCACCTCTAGTTATTGCGAGACCACCACACGTGATTATTACTATTACAATATAAATCAATATATTCAATATTTAATTAAATTAAAAATATATTTCTAACATATCGCCTGCATCAGTTAAATAAAAATATAAATAAAATAAAATAAAAAATGATCCCAAATTATGCCTATATTTAGCCCCAACTCATAGGTTTTATCTTTTGGATGTACATAGCTCAACTTTTACACTTCTCTAACTCATCCTATATTTTTTTTTTTTGGAAAAATTAAGGGTAAACATGCCCAATTTTCATTAGAAAAAAGGAAAGAAATTGCTGAAATCAAAAGACGTAATAAAAATAAGAAAAACTTACAAACCTTAAAAAAAAAAAAAACTAAGAAAAGACTGAAAGACCTTGACTTAAAAAAGTGAAGAAAAATAATATATATCAAAGAAAAGACCTAAAGACCTAAAGACCTTGACTTAAAAAAGTCACGAAAATGAAAATATACATACATACATAACTAAGAAAAGTCCTAAGCAAGAAAAAGAAAAAATAAAAAAATAAAAAAAAATATATATATATATAACCATAGGCGGTGCTTTTTTGATATTTCCACCCCCCCTCAAAAGAGCATTTTTGTCCTAATATTATCATCCTAAGGGTAGTTGCCCATTCCGCAAGTTTGTACTTCGCTGCCGCTTCACGGTTCGCTCATTCGACGTTCAAAATGTCACTGCCTTGCTAACATCTTCTTCTCAATCACATTTGACATTCCCAATACATAATTCAATCACATTTGACATTCCCAATATATAATTGTAAGAAAATAATAAAAAATTTCAGCTTATAAAATTGATAGTGCATTATGTTGAATAAATTTTTTTTTTTAAATTATTTTGTTCTTATAACTATTTGATGTTATTTATTATTATTATTCTTGGATCTAATCAATTAAAATTTTGTCCGTCCTAAAAATAAAAGGCTAAATCCGCACCTATATATAACTAAGAAAAGACCTAACGTCCTTGACTTAAAAAAAGTCAAGAAAACAAATGAAAGACCCAAACAAGCGGCAAATTATTGCATCAGGTCACCTGACAGAGAGATCTGTTCGGATCTCTCTCTGTCTACAGTGAAGCGCATGTAAAGCGCAGGTACTGTTGCAGGCGCTTTTACTGTAGACAGAGAGAGATCCGAACGAATCTCTCTGTCAGGTGGTCTGATGTAATAATTTGCCCCAAAACAAGCAGCCTTTCAAACAAACCCAGACAGAAGAAATAAATATACAATCAAATTATAACACTTGCTGCCTGTCATCAGAAAGAGAAAAACAACCATCAGGAATCCAACAGAGGCTTCACAACCACGAAGCCTGATGAAGATATCATTTCGAAGGATAAATGCGCCGTACATCCACCTAGCTTCCCTTCAAGCTCAGCTTCATCTACCGTCCATATTACGGTAAGTAAGATGAGATTTTTTTTAATAACTAAATAAGCTATGCATTAATTTCTGTTCGCCATCCTTGCCTTGCATTTTACGCCCAGATTTCTTATTTCTTTACTGCATTCTGCGGATTTTTCCATACGCAACCAAACCTTAGTTCGACAAAAGTTAACAAATTAGACACAAAGATAATCATATGGACCATTAAATATATAAAATACCTATAGACACACCGATCGATCCCAAACAACAATAATAATAATAACAATTGTTGCGTCCTGGAATATTCGCGTAATAAATTTTAATATGTTAGCTTTGTACAAAGATCCAGCATACATACACATAAAAAGAGAGGGTGCAACTTTTGCTTGTCACTGGACTTCTGTCCGTAGCCAGACTTTAGTCAGACTTCTACCCCCGTGGTTTTTCCATTTTTTCAGGGGTTTTTCACGTAAAAATTTTGGCGTCTCTTATAAATGTTACACCCTCTCTTTCTATATGTATGCGTGCTGGATCTTTGTACAAAACTAAGACATTAAAATTTATACTTCTCTACCGCCGCGAATATTCCAGGATGCAACAATAACAATAATAATAAAAAAACTGGATGAACCATTGCAATAATATTGAAATTTATTAAACATAACTCTTTTATGATCAATCAAGCTTATTCTATATACAGAAGATGCAGATATTGCAAGCAGCGTACGCAGCATGCAGAAAGCTGAAAGTAACTACGAGAAAGATCAAAGCATCCCTCCCGCTCCTTCATATCATTTAACTAATAACACTTATAAATAGCCATAACATAACCACTGAAAGAAGCACACACTTAATTAACCTCTCTGTTCTCTAACCAAAATGAACTTTCCTAGCAACACTGCTTCAGCAGCACTAGCCATATTACTAGTCTTTGCAAGCTTCAACCTCAGCTTTGGCGTCCGCTACTCCCCACAACTTGACCAATGTAGCCCGATTGGCTATCTAAGCGGCACAGATGGCAACTGCAACACAGAGCATGAATCAGAATGTTGCAAGGCAGGAGAGACGTACCCCCAATACTACTGCTCACCACCAATCACTGACGAAACAAGTGCAACTTTGACAATCAATAGCTTCGCCGAAGGCGGAGATGGCGGAGGCCCGTCGGAGTGCGACGGCAGCTATCACAGCGATGATGAGATGGTGGTGGCGCTTTCCACAGGATGGTATAATTATGGGAGCCGATGCTTGAAGACAATTAGGATTAATGGGAATGGAAATTCAGTGTTGGCTAAGGTTGTAGATGAATGTGACTCTATAAATGGCTGTGATGCTGGTCATGATTTCCAGCCTCCATGCCGCAACTACATTGTGGATGCTTCTCCAGCTGTTTGGAATGCTTTGGGAATGTCTGGAGATGATGTTGGTGAATATCAGATTACCTGGTCTGAGGCTTGAGCTTTGTACATAGATAGACAGGCGAAGAACTAAGAATTAAGATGTCTTGGGCTGTTTAGGGGTATATAATTTATCTATAATTATTAGAATTAAGATGTTTTGGGATGTTGATTTGTGTCTTATGTATCTACTGTTATCAATAGTGGCTTGTTGTTTCTAATCGATGTTCATTTATTGTCCCCACCTAAAATTAAAATTAATTTATATGCCCCCTCCCACTTTTTTTTTGTATTTATTTTAATTTAATAATATATATATAAAAGTTAAAATAAATCATAAATATTGCTTCCTTCAGCATAATTGCTTATTGATGTGCTTATTTGTGTTTGTCTTTTTTTTTTTTTTGGGTTATATTATATCAAACAATGTCGTTATTTTCATAGAAATTTGTTCGTCAATATTTTCATTGAATTATAGCTCGTTTCTTCATTAACAAGCTGGTTAATAGATCAATAATGTTCATTTGTTTAAACTTCGATAAACATGATACAAATTGAATATGAATAAAACACAAACATCCATTATTTTAACAAACCAAAATCGAACACGAATAAAAAAAAGTTTGAATTAAGCTCAAATCAAATTTGAACAAGCTAATAATAAATGAACTCAAACATGAACAAGCACCTGCTCGACTAGAATGGGTTCATTTGCAGCCCTACCAAAGAAGAAAATGTTAGAGAGAGCATGCTTAGTCACGTCACCTATGTTGTATTTTCTTTTGTCCTTGTTTAGAAAATGATATAAAATAGTAAGAAAAAACTATATATTTCCCTGACCTGTTCTATTAAGTGATCTACAAATATTTGATTTATGCACTGTTTACCCCTATACATCAAACCGCGCACAAAAAAAGCAAAACCGGCGAATCAAACAACATTCGCCTCGATACTCTCAGAAATCTTAAATTTTAAACTCAATAGCCAAACAATTTATGATTATTTAATGCTAACAGTTCTCAGATTTTAATTCCCACAAAATATGCTACATTTGTTTTTATAAGATTTAAATCTTGCAGATTTGAACATCTTTACAAAGGTCTGCAGAAAACTCTATTCTGCAGAAAACTCTATGCTGAATGTGACATTTTTGTAAAGGAACCAAAATAAAAAGAAACCAACTGGTTTTAGCTTTAAGAGGTTAGCAATTATTTCCAGCAAAAAATTGGCGAACCGTTTGATCAATTTAATTAAGTCACAGGTAATCAATTCTACTTTCTATTTAAGAGGAGAAATGCATCAATCATTTGAAGAAGGCTTAGAGTAAAAAATCAGATAGTTTTTATTGCGACAATACATTAATATTAATCATTCAAATACTTCACAATTGTTAAGACTCATCAGGAAGAGTTGGAGTATTTGCGAATTGCAATCCCTAAAATACTGAAAAAATGAAAGGAAAAAAAAAATCAAAATTGCACCCACATAAATAGCTTAAAATATTTAGCCATGCACCGAATTGTCTAACTGCCCAGAAGAATTCCAAAAATCTCCTGTAGCATCTAAGGTTAAGATAATAATCCTCATAGAATTGGTTCAGCTTCCTCACGCTGCAAGTTGAAAGGATTCTGCAAAACTCAGGCTTCGTTTGGAACAGTATTTTTACTGCGGCTTAAAACAGCTTTCTAATAATTTTTTTTTTACTAAAAAACTGCTTTAAAAAATAATAAGAAAGTCGTCCCAAACGAAGCCTCAATAATGATCATTTGCGTCCAAAACTAATCATTTGGCTCCGGAATGCTTGGCTTTAGTATGAGATTGAAGAGCATTTTCAGTGTTGAAAGACCTGAAGAAAAGAAAAAATCAGAAAAAATCAAAATAAAATGATCAAAACGAACCGAAAAAATATGCTAACCATAAGCTTCTGAAGGAGGGAAAAGAATAAACAACATACTTGCTGCATGTCTTGCACATAACTGAACCAGAAGATTTAGGAGTCTGTTGTTTTGCTTTGTTTCCAGCTTGTTTAGTAATCTGGGGAATAGGGGTTTGGCTGCCTTTCTTTGTGTCACCTGCTAATAGTCAAAGATTACATCAGTTCAGCATATATGCAAGGCTTTGAAAATCGGACCGGTCAATGAACCGGAAGAATAAGAGGTTAGCGGTTTGATGGTTCGAACCGGATGACGTAATAAGTATTTTTTATATTTAAATATTATAATAAAATCATATACACAAATTAAAATCCAAGGTAAAAAACTACAACATAGAAAAATACAAGGTAGAAAACTATGCCAGATAGAAAACTACATGGTAGAAAATTTTTATAAAAAATACTGAATAGTTGGATGGAGGGCTACATGCTACTATTATGAAGCAAATTTATCATTTCAGCAAGTAGGTTTTGATGGGCATTTAACTGAACAGTTGGAGTGCATTTATTTGGAGAAGTTGTGTCATCCATAACTGCATCTAATTGCTTTCCACACATGCAAGCAAACTCAGAATGCACTTTTGTATCCATAACATCATTTAATTTATGCGTCAGTGAATAACTTCATCATCACAAGTGTCCATAATCGATGCATTACAAGCAGGTGTACAAATCACGGCTGAATCCATTCAATAGATATCCCTGTACTACTTTGCTTATGCCATTAAGAGCTTCTTGACATGTGAGCGACTGATGCTGGCTTTCTTCCCAAGCTTCCAGGTTGAAACGAGCTAGGGGGGATGAAAGAGCTTTCCAAAAGCTACAACAACTTCATAAGAAGCATTCAAAAATCAAAACTATAAACAATTTTAAAGTTACCTAACTGAAAGAGGGGATGAAAGAACTTTCCAAAGCAAGTTATGCCCTCACTTACAGACCTGATGATCACGCCTAAAAAAATTGGGAATGAGATGAGAGCAGGCCTGCAGGAGGAGACAAGGTTGACTTCTTGCTTCGCGAAGGAGAAGAACGAAGACGCTATTAGCTTTGCACGTCGTCGAGGAAGAAGAGGTCGAAGGCTTCGAATGAGTTTTTTTTTCCTCTATTAAAGCTCGAAGCCGAAGAGTCGAGCAGATGCGAGTAGACGTCGACGCAAATGAGGGTTTTTTTACTCTCTGCGTATAAGCTTTCCGGCAGGTTATCAAAAACCGGGACCGGTTCGGCGGTCGAACCGCCGGTTTGAGCGGATTTATCCAGGTTTTCATTTGAACCGTAACCGGCCGGCCGGTTCGTGGTTCAACTGGTTGAACCTGCCGGTCCGGTTCGGTTTTAAAACCAGTGCATATATGAACCATAAAAAAGGGGAAATTTCATAAACATCCCTATATCTTTATGATTTATAAAATTAATGCCCTTCTTTTTATATACTTCAAATTCCAAAAAATATCAAAATTCAACAAAAAAATAAAAAAACCTAACTGCATGTTTTACTTCCATCAAATTCTCAATTATTTCATAGTGGTATGATAGACCGGTCAATCCGGTCCATACGGGACCGGCTTACAGATACAGCGGCAGAATTCTTTGCCTGTATGCCAAGCAAACCGCCGGGTTCAAAAAAACTTTTTAGGAAGTTGGGAGGGAAAATTAAATGTAGGGACTATTTAAATATTTCCTTTTGGATTGTATGCATTAAATAGTTTGTTTTCCTAGGATTAGGGCATCTTGAATTTGGCTGAAATTTGGGATCTCTTAGGTTCAGGTTTTTGGGTTCTAGTAACGTCTAGAGATTTGGGAGTGATAGATCCTCCTCTCGAATAGAGGATCAATTGTATCTTATTATTTTCTTCCGTTAGTTTGATTATCGCGATAAAATTCCTGTTTCCTGTTTTTTCCTTTGGAGTTTGGAAGATTTTTCTCATTGTTTTTCTGAAATTGTTAGGATTTACATGAAATCTTCAAGTGTTTCCTATCATGATACATATAGTATGAACATCTCCCATAAAAGGGGCAGATTTTCATGATATGTGTATGAATATCTCCTACAAAAATTATACTAGTAAAACGTTTAAAGAGAACAAAAATTACCAATTTTGAGATTCCCAGCTGGAGTTATTGTTTTAGACTTTTTCCCAATCGGAGACTTCAAAGCAGCATCAGCAGATCTCTTCTTGCCATTTTCAACCTAAAGTAGTAAGAATACAAGCACACAAATGGTAGACTAGCAAAAAAAAACATCATAGTTTCCCAATTTACAAAAACTCGCATTAATAACCTTTAAGTTAGCCTTTTCATCCTCAGAGCTATCATCCTTATCCTCATCATCACTATCACTATCAATCATTCCTTTAACTAGTTCCTGAGGAAAAACAACTTGAAGTTAATAAAAAAAATTCACAGCCTGTTCAAGGAACCAGTATGAGTGATTTTCAATGTAAAATATATATGAAATTGATCATACAAAAAAAAAGAAAAAGCTGATGAATGGTCAATATTTGAGATGCAACTTTTTTTTACAGATGAGGTTTAGAGGTGATTATGCCACCATCAATGAATCTAGAGCACTACCGGGTTGTTCAATTTTGTTTGTTCTAATTAGTCAAAAACGTCTCACTAACAAAATAATTTTACATTTACTCCTAATTGAATATCATAAAACAAGCAAATGGGTGAAAGAGGGAAATTATTTTTTGGGGTAAATGATTTACATACATAACTTGCTGAATTTAGCAAGCAAAAGCCAAAAATAAATAAATAAAACAAGAGAACATACCTCGTCATCATTATAATCATCATCGTCATCAGATTCTTCATTAGAATCATCTTCATCCTTATCTTCCTCATCATCATCATCAGCTTTATTTTGTATGTCATCAAGTTTTGGTTTTTCAACTTTGTCCTGCTTCCCTGTCTGAGTTTTAGCCTTAGCAGCTACAGTATCATCCTTATCAGCAGCAGCAACTTTTCCTGGCTTTACCAGATTTTTCTTTTTGAGCCAACCCTCTCCTATGAAAGAAACTCAGAGATGTAAGTTTAAATATGGAACTTCCAAGAAAATAGATTTATATAGAGATCTTAATTTAAAATGAAGAAAACACAGAAAAAAAATAAAAAAATAGTTAAATAAAATAAAACTATTCTTGACATGCCAAAATAAAACATAATGGAATTTTTTCATAAATATGAGCAGATAATATATAAAGCAACCATATTATACTTCTGGAATTTAAAATTTGCTAAATTTCCAAAATTCTGAAAAGACATGAAAATATAAGCTTGTTAATAATTCTTACGTAAATGGATTATATGAGTATAATACATGAATTTACTAAGCTTGTAAGCAAGTACATATGTCCAAAATTTAGAAAAAGAAAGGTAAATGCACGAATGTCCCAGAAGTATAAAAGTGTTTTTAAAATCCTGCATGCAGGTTTAGGTGCCCTTCAATAGAAGAAACTCATCTTGAGTAGAATTCCTATTTGCATAAATGTTATTTTTGTCAAACTGCATAACACTTGTCCATTTGTGTGATTCATGCAACGCTCCTCATGATTTAGGTTTCGTTTGGGACAGCTTTCTTATTGTTATTCTAAGAGTTTTCGAGCAAAAAAATTTTAACAGTAAGAAAGCCGTCCCAAACGAAGTCTTAAAAGTTAATGCTACAACTTCTTAACTAAAATAACCCTTTCAAAATACTCTCAGTCAATAGCATCAGAGCACCCAAGACATTGTGATATTGCAAAAGAGATTATCACCCATGTAAGAAAATCTAATTCAAATAACAGAGATGCATCGCAGTGGGGAGGCAATGAGAAGCAAACAATGTAAATAGACATATTTTGGTGGGGCGAATTGGGGAAGAGATAAATGAATGTGTTAGAAAAAGGAAAGGAATGGAAGGTTGGGAAGCAAAAAGAATTCCCATAGAAGAGGCTAACGAACTATCATTATTTGCATCTTTGAGTCTGATCAAATTACACAAACGCATGCTTATTCATAGAAACAGGATTACAGCTCAGATATCAAATTAAAATCTAATCTAGAGATTATCCAAGAAGATAATTCATGATAAAATAAATCTAAGAAACCTAATTAAAATAAAATATAACATAATAAGTTCCAAAATTCTATTCTTTGTGCAGTTTAAGTTGAATTGTCGATGAAGGACGGATCAACGAACTTGAAGTCTTCAATTTCATTGTAGAGCTTTTGAAATTCATCTAAAAAATGGATAATGGGAAATCCATCCTAAATAAGATGCGATGAAGAAAAACATTCATCCTGAAGCAGAAGAGGAGATGCACATCACAACATTGACAAAAGACATGCTGTATATTCTTAAGTAAATTATCAAAGCCCTAGAAAAACATTTATAAGTTTGTAGATCTTTGTGAATATGACTAAAATGACTCAACTACAGGCTGGCCGAAATTGATTTCACTCTCTCTCTCTCTCTCTTCCTTTACCATGTTACTAGTAGTAGGCAAGAGGATCACAAAACACATGCACTATTTTGCGAGAAAGTGTGGGTGATTGAAGCATCGGGTGAGCAACTAGCAAAGAATAGGCACTTCAAGATGTGGCATGAAGTGGAGAATAATCAGTCATGAGCAGGAGATTGAGCTTAGATAGTGATTCGAAAATACGTGGGGATGTGCAATATTGAAAACATTGATAAAAGAAATACTATGATGGAAAAAGGCCTAGACAACAACATCCTAGGGTTATGGAAATCAAGTTCATTAGTGTCAGGAAAGGCCACCATGAAGTTTAAGTTACAGGAAACGAGCAAAGGAGTGTACACTATACCTTAAGTGTGCACGAAATGCGAGTTGATTCATGAGTGACATGGAAGGGAGAACAACTTTCCAACAAATGCGAGTGGGTTGCGATGCAAACATGAGCGATGCGATGACCCTAATGAAGGAGATGAGATCGCATTGACGAGTAGGATGAGGTATCGAAGTGTGGCTATGGAGCATATACACAAGGTATGGTATGTAGATGTTAAGATGATCGTAGAAATGACTTGAAGTAGGGTAAGGCTTCGATACCAAATTAATAACGAGACGGAAGAAAAAATAGACAAATATGATGTAGGAGGAAAGCTAGAGGTTGAGAGAAGGTGACTGGATAAGAAAAGAAGAAACATGTCAAAAGGAAGGCAAGGGCAAAGACGAAGCATACAAGGGAAAAACCCAAAAGCGAGAGAATCCTCAAAGAGGAGGCTAAAGAACTGTCTTTCATTCCATCTTCAAGTCTGATCAAATTGGAAGACTGAAAGCCCAATTTCGAAAAATATGATTACAAGATAAAATTAAAATTTATTGTTGAAATTATCCAAAAAATATAATTTATAATAAAATAATCTAAATTTTTTAATTTTAAATAAAATAAAAAAAATCTAAACTTAAATCCTTTCTGTGACATCAGAAGGAGAGGTAAAAAGAGGGGGAGGAGAGTAAGTGGGAATCCATCCATGTTCGTTGTCACCTATGCCCCACAATTATTGTAGCTCATACTCTCATCGTCAAAATTTCATTAATTTCCTGCAATCAAGTAGTACTATAATTCCAGTTTAAACTCATCTAAATCATCCTTAAAAGTAGTTTCCAGCAAAATCACACATAAAGGGTGTATTCACCACAACAATAATGGCTAATTTGAATTTGAGATGAGTGTGATGTGAAGGATCGATGGAGTTGAAGTTCATGTGAATTTAGTCTCCACACCACATCTAGGACCTTTCCCTAGTACGAGAGGACCGGGAAGGACGCACCTCTGGTGTACCAGTTATCGTGCCTACGGTAAACGCTGGGTAGCCAAGTGCGGAGCGGATAACTGCTGAAAGCATCTAAGTAGTAAGCCCACCCCAAGATGAGTGCTCTCCTATTCCGACTTCCCCAGAGCCTCCGGTAGCACAGCCGAGACAGCGGCGGGTTCTCTGCCCCTGCGGGGATGGAGCGACAGAAGTATTGAGAATCCAAGATAAGGTCACGGCGAGACGAGCCGTTTATCATTACGATAGGTGTCAAGTAGAAGTGCAGTGATGTATGCAGCTGAGGCATCCTAACAGACCGAGAGATTTAAACCTTGTTCCTACACGACCTGATCAATTCGATTAGGCACTCGCCATCCACTGAATAGTATCATAGCTCTAAAAGTAGGGGCGTATATAATAAAGTTTTTTAGGTATGTTAATAGGAATATAGATTCACAAACTTAAAACATAGTCCTAAGTGTAACATCTCACGTAGCTAAAGGAACAAATATAAATAAACATAAAAATCAAATTTACATTTCAGAAAAAAAAAAAGAATAGATTAGCAACATATGACACTTTTATCCATTATATTACTTCACATCTTAATGTAACAAGTCTCTACCAAAATCAGCTTCTGCTTTCCAAAAATTTCGGACTAGGTACCATTGGAAGTAGGAAGGGATGCACTTGGAAGGGTACATAGTCCAAACCAACTCCATCTCACATATTACCAACACATAATTGCTTTTGTTTAAGTTTAAACAAATACAATTGCAGCACCCTTAAAGAACTAAAATGATATTCAGTATTGAGTCCTGGATGTATAAATTAGAAGGATTTGAGTGATATACTGGTATGGACCTGATTTTACCTATTATATATGTACCAATCTAGAAAATGCCTACTTTCACTTATGGGAAACAACCATCAAAGCTTCACAGTCATCAAACCTCACGTAGGAAACAAGCTTCAAGAAACAAATTATAGGGATAAAAACATTAATAGATTACCTATCTCTTTCGGATCATTCAGATAAGCCTCAACATCGGAACCTATAAGGACAATAACATGATAAGTGCTAAGCAATTTAAATGAATAAATATTAAAATGAATAAAGAAAATTGAGAAATGAACTATACAATAATGAAAATTTACCATCTAAATCATCCTCAGAAGTGATGGCAACAATAAAGATAGATAAGGAAAAAAAAAAGGTAATTCAACATCACAAGTTTAGAATATAGTTGAGCCAAATCTCTAAAGAAGGAAATATCAGCTTGTAAAACTTAAAAAGGATATGCATAGTTCTCATGAATGCTCTTGTAACCAACAAAAAATACACTGGTATTCTTTGAACCGTGTGACAACTCAAATTCCTTCTCAAATACAATATCATATTGAATCTGGGCACAATTCTCTGTAGAGAGGGTCCCAAGAACTAGCTTTTGATCATTAAATTTAACAAAAACTGGAACATTTCCAGTCCCCTTATCCTTCTTGATTTCACCTAGTGAAGCCTACAATGTAGAAAACAAGCAAAGACTAGTATCAGTGCACTAGAAATCGCCCAACGAAGAAGGGAATTACTGATTAGCATCAAAGTAACCTGCGAAAGATGCAAGTATCCTTCATCTCCAGGTTCGCACTTTACCGTCTGCCCAGGTTTAACTTCAACACCTAAAGCCAAATTGATAAGAGACGCAGCAGATTTAAATCAAGTAAGTCGAATAAGGGAATTTAGTGCATCCGCCATTTAGCATAGAACGTGGGCGAAACAAAATTTAATTTTTCTGTGGGATTTAAGTTTGTCATATTTGTTGTTTCCCACCAAAAACTAATCAAAGAACAAAATATATAGTTGTATTGCATGATCACCAAACAGAGCGAAATAAATGTACAACAGACGAGCAATAAAAAACTTATCATTCTTTGCAAGAAAAGAACTTTTTTTTAAAGAACGAAAAATTCGGAGAGAGAAGCAAGCGTTAGCTGAACATAAAAAAAAAACCTAGGAAAGTGGGTGATTAAGAACGAACGAAGTTTAAAACTCAATCTTTCGTAGAGCCAATTATAAAGAAAGGAGAAGGAGAGGAAAAAGCCCTCCCACACGAGAGGGATGGAGAAATGAGTTCGAAGTCCGAAGAACGCACCCCAGAACTCCATCAAGGCAGATTGATCGATGTGGCAGCGCTGCTCAGGAGAGAGAATGGGCGGAGAGGTTTAGGGTTTGTGGTATAATTTAAGCATTGACCAGTGAGGCGGCGGCGGCGGCAGCAGCGGCGGTAGAAAACGATTATTGCATCCGTGAGCGGACGCGCAATAATAGGTTCGTACATCAAAAACATGCCACTGCATTTTCATTGCGATTTAGGTTGACTTTGACTGTGATTTACTTGTGCTTTGATTTGACTGTGCTTTAACTACGTTTTTGACGTACTTAATTTAAAATAATATTTTAATAATATACGGACCTATCTTTGCGTTCTGTGACCGGATGCAATAATTTGCCGTAGAAAACACCCTGCGGAGCGGGGTAATTATTGGGTTCGGATAGTGGACGCAATTCAGAGTCAATGAAAATGCGTCACATCATTTTTTATTCGGTATCGAGCAGTATCAAGCAGTACTGAGCCTGAGCTCAGTATGCTCGGTACTGTGAAGTACCGAACTCAATATTTCACAGTACTGAGCTCACGACCGTTCGGTACTGTGAAGTACCGAACGGTAAGTTGTGTCCGATGTCCGAACCCAATAATTCCCTCTGTGAGCGACGAACGACATCCACCGTTCATTAAGGAAAATGGGATCATTTAGTTATTCACTGGAATAGGGAGCTCTCAAGGGATGTAAAGGAGTTGGGTCGTGTAGTAGTATTATCCACTTCATTTAACTCATATTGAGCTCGAGCATGAGCATGTTTAATGAGCTTGAATTTGACTCTCTGTATAAAAATCAAGCTCAAATCCGTTTAAAAAAGTTGAGCTCAACTCAATTTAAAAGCCCAAATTAGACTCATCCATGAAGCTATGTTTTTTTTCTTAAGAAATTCTTAAGAATATGGTATATTAAATATTTTTTAAATATATTTTAAAATCAAGTAACCCGATGAGCTAATAAGTCAAGTCGGACTAAACTCAAATTAGAGCTCGTTTAGTAAACAATGTCGATTACAGGCTTGACTTAAACTCGAAACTCGCTCATGAACTTGTTAACGAGTCGAGATCAAACCGACTCGACTCACTTACATTACTAGACTATCGGCGGCTGCACGCAAAATGGGGGTAATCAACTTTTTTAACTATTTTAACTTTTAATTTTTAGACAAAATGCATATTTTTATTATATATATTAGAAATGCTTTAATTATTTTGAAGTTGATCTTAACCTGATCTGAGAAGGCATGAACCTAATCGAGTTGCAAACCTAGCCCGAAAATTACGTAGGTCAACTTATAAACAATTTTTTCATCAGCTGCAGGAGTTCTAGATGCAGAAATTTATATAAGTCTCTATGGCCGTCCAAGGCCAGACCTATCAGTCTGTGCCAGTCGTTATATAAGGTTGTAGCAAAAGTTGAGGTGAACAGATTTAAATCGGCACTTGTGGAAGTTATAGGAGAAGAGCAAGGTGCTTTTGTGCTCGGCAGGTCCATCTCAAGCCATAGTCTGCTTGCACAATAGATGATATACAAATGTCAGCATTCTACTATGAAATCTGGACTTATGGTTTTAAAAGTTGATATGGAACAGGCCTACTGTATGGCTTGGGATACGCTTCAGCAGGTGATGGGGTTAATGGGATTTCATGCTTGATTCACTCGATGGGTGATCCAATTTATCTCGTGGCCCAGATTCCAGCTTCTTATTAATGGAAATAGGACTCAGTGGATAGATGCTTGTAGTGGTTTTCGACAGGGTTGTACTCTGTCACCTTATTTGTTTATCCTTTGCTCGGAGCTGTTAACCAAGGTGCTCAAGCAAAGAGGCGGGTTGCTTGGAGTTCAAGTTGTTAGCAATGTGATCAGAATTTTTTATTTATTGTACGCAAATGACATTTTGGTGTTTGTTGAAGCAAGTAGAGCCAATGCAATTTATATTATGACGATTTTGAATGGGTATTGTGAATGGACGAGGCAGAAAAACAACTGCAACAAGTCGGCCATTTTACTTAACAAACCATGTCCAAATTGGAAGAAGAGAAGGATCATATATGTTTTGGGATTCAGAAAGGTCATGGCTAGGGGTGTCAATTCGGGTCAATTGGTCGGGTTCTGATCGAACCCGGAACTGACCCGATGCTATTTGACCCGACTCGAACCCGACCCGTTTTTGCAAACGGGTTAGAAAATGCAACTCTGACCCGACCCGCTGGGTTGCCGAGTTGACACAACCCAACCCGGAAATTGAAAATGCGGAAGCGGGAGCCCGGAGGCCGGATCGCATGGCTGTGGTTCGCATGGACCTGAAGCCAACCAACTTGGGCTCGCCACGCGTGCGGAAGGGGGAAGCGCCAAACGGCCGAAGTGGAGCGGCTACTAAGGCTAGCGGGTCCCGATTGTGGAAGGGCGAAGCAGAGCGGCTGAGCCCGGATTGTGACACTGAACCGAACGACTAAGCCTGGATTGCGGAACAGAGGAAGTGGAGCGGCTGAGCCCAAATCGCGGAAGCGGAAGCCCAGATTGCTGGGTTAACGGACCCATACCCGGGTCAAATTTGGGTTGATTTTGGGTTTCCAGGTCAACCCGAACCCGACCTGTTTTTACAAACGGGTCAACAATCTAAACTCGAACCCGACCCGTTTGCTAACCGGGTTGACCCGAAACCGGATTTTTCCGGGTCGGGTTCGGGTCGGGTTTTAATTTGTGTCAAAAATTGACACCCCTAGTCATGGCTTTGGAGTATATGGGATTGCCTTTAGATGCGGAAGCGAGTGGCATTTAATTTTTCTGAAGTTTTAAAAAGTGCTGATAAGATCAACATGTGGAAAAATTATTTTGTGCGGTGTCCAGATTTTTTCAAAGGTCAATTCGGACGCACCATGTCACCCATCGCACAGTACATTAGATGACATAGCTCATCCGGATTGACCTCTGGACATATTCGAACACCGCACAAAATAATCTCCCCAACATGTGGGGCAAGCGGCATCTGTCTTTGGCGGGTCGAGCAATTCTAATCAGAACTTCATTGCTTTCCATCCCTATATACTTATTGACTCATACTACAGTTTCGAAGGATATTTTGAATTCCATTTAGAAATTGGGTAGGCAGTTTTTGTGGCAGAAAGATGTGAACAGTAAGGGTCTTCACTATGTTTCCTGGTCCGAATTATGCGAACCTTCATTGCAGGGTAGACTTGGGTTTCATGCAACTCTCACGTGGCAAGGACCTTTACGTGCTCAGTTGGCATGGGCTGTCCTACATAATCCTAACTCGCTGTTAAGCAAGGTGGTGATTGCGAAGTATGGGATGAATTTATGGGCCGAAACACCACGATGTAACGCCTTCTCCAACCGAACTCCAATTATATGAATGGCGTCACTCACGAGCTCCAACCGAACGGTAAAACTTTCAGTATTTGATTGCGGGTGAATAGTGCGACGTCAATATTGGCATGGCACAGTTCACCTGCGTTATTTTTTTGTCTCTACCGGATTTGCCGAAGAAACGCGTGAAAGAGAGAAAGACGGTTACCTTCTACAAAGGGCGCAAAACGGAGTCCGATTGAAGATGAATCACGCCAATTTTTAATTTTACTATATTTTGGAATGAAAAATGAGATTTTCAGATGGCCATGGCTTACCGTGATTAGATTGGCAATGGGGATTACCAGTTCAACTGGTTTAAGAAATTTAAACTACATCATCCTGAATCTGTCGGATGCCCTTGGGGTTGCAATGCGGAAGAGACCACTTGACCATTGTATTACCCAATGCGAGAAATTGAAGCAGGTGTTGGCCATCCTTGCAAAATGGGGATTTGTCTTGCCTGAGTTTCAGTTCTTGAGGGATTTGTTGATTGCTCTTAGGAATTTCGCTGAAACCAAACCTAGCATGGGTCGACTTTACTGTTATGTCATCCACCAAATTGGCAGGAGGAGATCTTGCTGCTCCCTCTGTTATTGATGCTACCGCACTCGCCTTACTTCTGGAGCAATGGAGCATCAATCAACCTTTCGGGCTGCGATTGGATGTCCGCATGTCAGGTAATCAGACGCAATAATTTGCCCTTCTTTTGTCTATGCTAGGGATGATAGTGATAGAGTATAGCATTATAGTTGCTTTTTATTGTCTCTTTTTTTTTTTTTTTGACACTTTCATTAATGCGTTTTTTTTTTTTTTTTTTTTTTTTTTTTTGACACTTTCATTAATGCATTTGCAAACTTTCAAAAAAAAAAAATTTGTTTTTCATGTTAGGTTTGAGTTTAGTTTTCACTGTGGGTCTAATATTAACATCCCTAACATAACCTATATTTAGGCAAATATGTCTTCTATGTTTTCTTTCTAGATAGAAAAATACATGAAGCTTTATTTTGTACAAAATTATTCATAATGAGAGGTAATTTCTCGAATTTGTTTATTGATTATTGAATTTGAAGTCTGTCGAAACTTATTCAAACCTATTTCACCAGTTTTTTTTAGTCCTTTTGTTAGACTCCTCATTGTTCGTGAAGGGTGGTTGTTGATGAAAAACATCAATGGGGTTGATGATGCCCAAGGAGAAGAAGAGTTTGTCATGGGATCTTGTTGGGAGCAACCATCTACAGGATCATCAACAAGTGAACTAGAATAATAGTTCGTGATGCGATATTGTTGGGGCAAGCACCAATGGGATCTGCAGTGTGTGAATGAGAATATGATTTCTTGATCATAGTTTAATATTGAGGACAAATATTGATGGGACAAATAAATTAAAGAGGAATGATAATGTATGAGCAAGAAATACAAAAAGTAGGAAGATAATTAAATTTAGAGAGATATGGTGGCAAGAACATAATGAATATGAAACTAAACAACTTGACAATCACCTTTACAAAAAAATTGCAGCCATCCAAAATAGCTTCCTAAAGACTGAAATGTACTTACATGTATAAATATGAAGAATTTGGCGTTGATCATTGGGGGATTTCATCAAGAAATTAATGGGAAAAAGAGAAGCAAGAGCTAGCATGGCTGCTTATAAATTAAAGAGAAATGATAATGTATGAGCTAGAAATACAAAAAGTAGGATGATAATTAAATTTAGAGAGATGGACAGTTAGTCGCATTGAAGGTGTCAATATGAAAGTTCTGTTGTGCAATATTTATATAAACAACATGATTTAATGGTCAGT